CCGTTCTTCCCTCTCTATTTCTTCGCTTAACCTTTTTTCTATCCACTGAGTGATGGCTTCATCTTTATAGCCTATCGCCTCTGCCTCCTCCCTGAGCTCTAACACTCTACTTTTCTTCCCACTCCTTGTTTCCATTTTGAAATAATCTTAAAGCCCTCAATAGTAGTAGCAATGTTTAAAAAAAAATACATCAATCTTATACAACAACAAATGTAAACTATACTAATTACCCGGTCTTGATCTTGGGTCCCAACGTAGCCGACTTGCGTAGGCGTACAACCGCAGTAGGGTACATTCAACACGGGTACAGCATTAGTGTCAAAGTGTTACGGCAGTGTCGGCCACAAGCAGGATACGGCAACAAGCAGGGTAAGGCGACCAACAGGGTATGGTAGCCAGCAGGATAAGGCAACCACACTGGATACGGCAGCCACAGGATACGGCAACACCACATGATACGGCAACACCACAGGATACGGCAACCACAGGATATGGCAACCACGCAGGATACGGCAACCACGCAGGATACGGCAACCACATAGGATACGGCAACACAGGATACGGCAACCAGCAGGGTTGGCAACAGCGGGGTAAGGCGACCAACAGGGTAGGGCGGCCAGCAGGGTAGGGCAGCCAGCAGGATACGGCAACCACGCAGGATACGACAACCACACAGGATACGGCAACCGCACAGGATACGGCAACACAGGGTACGGTAACCAGCAGGGTCGGCAACCCACAGGGTTCGGCAACATACAGGCTTCGACGATCAGCAGGCTTCGGCGACCAGCAGGGTCGGCAACACACAAGGTTCGGCAACCAGCTGAGTCGATTCAGTTTTAGGCGGGCCCCCAAATGTTACGACCTTGGTTATGCTTCAAAGGTTACAGCCCTCTCTTGCTTTGTCTAGGGTGTATGACTCTCTCACATAAAACGCAAAGGTCCCATGTAACAATATATATAATTTTTATTAGATACCTCTCGACCAACAACTCACAAAACACTCCCACGATTAATGACTCCCCCTACCCAACACTCACAACATTCTCCACGGACTCAAAGTGACAACGGTCAACAACAAGACTGTCTGAGTCTAAACTAGACCCACTAACTTCACGATCTGACCTCTCGACCCAAGATCTTTGGAAATTTCCCAAGGTGTGGTAGCCCTGCGTGCTAGCTTCACACTTTCCTTCTTTGCGCATGACTAGCGCGCACTCTATATATTTATAGCTCTGTGTATTAACCTGGTCACTCCTGATCTGCTACTGATCATTAACCATGGCCGCGCATATGATTTCGCTAACATCACCGGGGCCAATGACATACGTTGTGCCGTGGAAAACGAGGTGACCCACGAAATTTTTCAATCTATTTTATTCGTATATTATTTCTTAGCGCATTTCGTATTTTAAAAATTTTTTGTCATGTAAACTTTCGTGTATTCTTTAATAATTAAATCCAGGCAGTTATAGTTAACTAATTCTGGATTATAAATCGCATCTTTTCTTTTTATTTTACTTCTAAAGAGTCTTTAAAACTCTTTCCCTCCGGATCAACGCTCCCATCGTCGATTTGAAATGAAGAGTTCGGCGTATCGACGATGGGATCGTCGATGTATAAAAACCTGTTTATTTCGGTTCTTTCCTTAGCTATTGGTATTTAGTTATTTTAAATCAATTCTAGAATGATTTCCCTTTGAGCAGCCTTTATTTGCTCTTAAATAACACAGCTACAGATGGCGGGACACATCTTTTGTCCGTGGATTTCACAACTTTATGCTTCAACATGTTTATTATAATTAGAATTATCTCTCCCTGTTCCTTTGACCCGTGGTCATAACTCATGTGAAACCTCAGTTTTACAATACATATTTTTAAATTGTTACAAAATGAAAAACGAGTCTCATAAAAAAAAAATTCAAACAAAAGCCTCACCTCCCAACTCATGGACCTGACATCTCACCTCCTCTTGAAAATCATAAACAAGTGCACCTTTAGAGCTGGCAGCGCTCTCTTTAACACTTTCAACATTGGTTTCCAACTTAGAGCACTCCTGGCTCTCAAAATCTGGGCAACCTTCAATCACATTACTTGGGAAATTATTTTCATTACAACTATCTGTAACAATATGTACATTTGAGCAGCCCTGGCTCACATTTACAGGTGATTCATTATCATTACAGCTATCCGTAACAATATGAAAATCTGAGCACACCTGGCTCACATTTACAGGTTATTCATTATCATTACAGCTATCCTTAACAATATGAAAATCTGAGCAGCCCTGGCTCACATTACCTATTGATTCGTCATCAATACAGCTCTCTGTAATACTATAAAATTTTGAGCAACCCTTGCTCATAACAACTTGTAATACATTTTCATTGCAGATCTCTGCAGTAACATCAAAACCTGAGCACACCTGGCTCACATTATCAACTAATTCATATTCATTACCAGTACATATCTCTGTAAAAATATCATTTGAGCAACCTTTGCTCACATTACACAGTGACTCATTTACATCACAATAATTATCAACAATTTTCTCTCCTTCCCCCACCTCAGGGATTACACTCACCTCATCAACCTCACACAAAAAATCAGACACTTCAACTTCAGGACTTACATTATCTAATAGTCAAGCGCGGGAAAAGCGTTCAACAACTAATGAACATAATATTGAGTCGCAACAATTACTAATGAACGCTCATACTCGACATCGGGTTCGGGATCCCATCATGATCCTTATTGGTGCCATCGGAAAACGGGAAAAACGAAAGGTTTACCTAAGTTATTTTAATTGTTTTTAATAGGAGAGAAATTATTATTATTTTTACTATAGTGTTGTTTTGTTGTTAACATTTCCTTTAATAACAATGTGAACTAAAAGGATGTAGCAGATGGTTTTGTCTGAATGCAGCCCCGGGCAGCTCCGGTTATAGTTGATAGTAAAGTTATAAAATAAATACATCTTATTTTAACAAGATTCATCCAAATTGGGCAACTTTTATAAAGTATCTTTAAAGACAGAGTTATCCTTGATTTACCACAATGGCTCCGTAAAACACGAAAGATTCATAAAAATGTACTTTTTTTATCTTGTAAAATTTGTTAAATTGTTGTTGTATTCCAAAAAAAAGATGGTATATAACTTTTAAAATACTTTTTATAAAGAATTAACATGGGTTTACACGGGGAAAATAAGAGATTCAAACAGAAATAATATACGCACCTGAACTGCACTTTTACCAAAACATTTCCGTTTCCAGTTCATGACCGACTCTATCACAATTTTTTTTACTGATATTTACTACACTGTCTATACCGGTACTATTTTATTTATTTTCAGAGATTAGAGATAACTAATAACTGTGTGTGGGTGAAGTGTGTCACTGTCTGTAGACTGTAGTGAAATATATATTTCTTAAAGCTGACATGGCAATTATTGCACATATATAATTAAGACTCGAGTCCAAGTTATAGGTGACCAGACGAAGTTACCAGATAGACTGAAGTGAAGTTGAAGTAACCAACATTCAGTGTGACAAGGACAATATTAATTAAACTGCTACACTACTACTACTGCATATAAACTGTGACAAAATATACTAAACGTTTTGCTGTTTTGGGGCCGTCCATTAATTATGTCAACAATTTTTAAGCAATTTTTGGCCCCCCTTGTCAACAACTGTAAAACTTAAGTGACCTCCCTAAGTCCTAAGTAATCATGTCAACATTTGTTATTGTTTTATATTACCCCCCCCCCCTATGAATCATAATTTAAATAAATAGCTAAATACATTTTAATGTGTGATAATTTATTTTAATAACACAATTGTAGGAAAAACATGTTATTGCAACTTAAGCTTGTTATTCAACAAGTTAAAAAGTTTTTACACTTAAATTTTATAATGCAGAATCAATAAAAAGTAAAAGGTTGTTAAAGATAAATATCATTGTTTATGGAAGTAGAAATATGATTTTTGTCTGTATAGCTGACAATTGTAGCATAGTTTCTAGCTGCTATGATCTTCCCAGGGAGTAACCAGGTGTTGGTCTATTGTAACACTGGGCATAGCAGCTGATTTATCATTTTCATCTTGCGGATATACCAGACAAGTCAACATCATCCTCATCTAACCATTCAGCACTTACAAAAGAAGAATTGTCAGTGGTGTGAGCAATAATTGCCATAAGCTCTCTCTGTCTCCTGGCAGCTGTTTGCATTAGTCTAATCCTTTTTTGTTGAGGAGCAGGTCGTAATTTCTTATGCATTGTCGGTACTGTTGAACTTGCTATTTCAACATGACTTGTAAAGCAAAAAAGATGTTAAAGATGATGCAAATCCGTTCAAGCAGCAATGTTATTAGTGTTAATCACTTTACTTTCCCTTAATTCTCAAAATATCACATTCGTACTCTATCAATACCATTTATCTTGACCGCACATGACTCTTGAACCTTGTCTTTGTTCCATACCTGCAACATGACCGCAAACATACCGCCGTAGTCATTTGCGACAAATAGAATCTACAGTCGAAGAGAGGCCAACTTTTGACTTCACTTGAATTAACTAAATGTGCTAATATTGTGACCAGTCATCAGCAGTGTACAGACAGACACATTAAATAAATATTATATTGTTAAAAGCTTAAAAGTTATATAACTATTTTAATTTAGACTCATTAAATTTTTAAAATAATGTAATAACCAGTCAATTTTTAAGATTAAAATTTTAATAGAGAATGAGAAAGCATGATTGTTGACATCAACTAATCTAAACCTCCCCCTCCCCCTTGTCAACAATTTTCAAACATTTCCAACCCCACAAACCCCTATTTTGTCGACAGTTGACATAATGAATGACCCCTTTATGAAAAGATTCGGTTTAATATCTTATTAAATAATGAATTTTTAAATAGAAAATACCAACAAATAAAATACTAATTGAAATGTCTTGCCTTGATCATCAAAGTTGGTAAACATAAAATAATAGTATTAAATAGTCATAGTTGATGAGACCAAAACACAACATAACTATGATTTAAATCGCTGCAGTGACTTAAAGTAGAATGTGCCTAGTATTATGTTGTTAAAGAATTAAGATTAGGAATATTTTTTTAAAATATACTTAAAATATTGTATTTATTCTGCGTTGTTGGGAAAGGTGAAGTTTATATTATATGAAATTTAGATGTCTATGAAATTTAAATATGTAAACAAAGGGCAGTTTTCCTGGGTTCTACATTTAACTATTGCATCTACATTTAAAGGACATCAGCCTGGCATACTTCTAGTCACTAGTTGATTCAAAGTAATATTTCAGAGGGTAATTTCCTGGTCTAGGTGCAATATTCAAATGTTTGGACAGCAGAGTAGCACTGGATTCTATATCTTGACATATTTATTGTCATAATAATCGATAAACTTGATTTCCAGAATCTATATTGTAGCTCTATAATTGTGAAAAATTATTATAAAAATATAATTAATTACGGTACCTAAATTATATAATAGGGATATTTGCAATAGGGATTTCAATTTCAAAGATAATTGCATAAAAATTAATTGGCATCCAATTAATCAGCATGAGCCTATTTGCTAATCAGTTCAATCCTAAATCATTAACCTGGTCCATGATCATATCCTTATCAATAATAATTCATATTTTTAATATGGAAATGGACTAAATTTGCATTTGTATATTACTTTATAATTAGGCTAAGTCCCTGAATGCTTCATTTAAATTACCATCATAGTGGTGGATGATCCAAATTATTTATAGGGCTATATAAATGTTTGTAAAGTCCATTAAAATTTGAGAGTACAAGGGTTTGGAATGTCTTCTCATCACTGACAGATCACCACTTGGCATATTAATAATGGTATAAAAAAGGTATGATCTAAATAATATGTAACAAGTCTATTTAGAATCTTTCATTCTATTGAGTTGTTACTCTGCCACATATCAATGAGTTATTCTTGAAGGACATTCTTTTTTTTTTCTGATAGGACAGAGTTTTTGCAGGTTTACGGTGATCTGTATAGTGATGATGTCAGTCTTCAAGAAAAGGCTATCAATAAAATGGACATGTGGAAATCCAGGTAAACTAAAAATTGGAGATTTGAGGTAGAAACAATTTTTTCATTTGAAGATAAGTTTTACAAATTTTTGACTCACAATGGATATACAGAGGCCATTTAATCTTAAGCTATTAACTATTTGCTGGATTTTGTTTTTTTTAGTACTCTAGCGTTAAATTTTTTTCAAATAACCTCATGAGAATTTGTAACCAGATTGATATTTAATGTCAGTTGACTTATAAAAAACGTTATAATTTACATTTTAATTTCTACTTTTAAAGGGCTGGAAGCAAGCTATCAGTTGCTATTGAAAGTTCTGCTATGTTAATGAAAGCCAGCATGGATCACAGCAAAGTGACAAGAGATGGGAGTATTTTACAACAGGAAACTCAACTCAGATCACTTTATGGCTTAGCACTTGTTAGGTAATTTTTAAATAGTTTTAAAAAATGTCGAAGAAAAAAAATTAGTAAAACGTATTTGAATCTAAAATTTAATTCAAATAAATGTTCTTCTTCTACATATTAAGGGCCCAAGATCAATATCATTCTAGCTCCTCTCTATGTATTTTAACTCAAGATTAATATTCAAAGAAAAGAAAAGCATACAAAAAAAATTGATTCTTTTCAGTATTATTTTACTATTAATTTTGAAAAGTCAGACTTTTCATTTTTGCCTTTAAAATTTAAACATGACTGTTAACTTGTAATCAATGCCTAAATTAAGGAATTATTAATTTTTTTAAATAATCCTATAAACCAAGATTATTAGATTTCAATATATTTAATCATGATATAAAATATTAGCATACATTTCTTCAAAGAAATATATGTGCTAAAAGGAAAAACTAATTTTGAACATTCTAAAATTCTTTCTTTAAATTTTTTTTTGGTTACAAACCCTAATAAAATATACAACAGACAATTTAGCATTTAAACTGTAGCCTTGTGACTGCCATAAGGAGCCTTGTTTTGTTATCTTCATAATTTACCTTTCAGGTTTGTAAACCATGTTACAGAAAAAGGACAAACCAAAGCTACAGCACAACCAGTGCATTTGATTGCGCGGAATGTAAGCATTTATTAGAAAATGAAATTTTGTGTGTCTTTTGATTCTTAACTATTATTCATCAAAATAATATGGAACATAATTTTAATGGAATGTCTTTTATATATATAGTTCTCATCTAGTGAACAAAGGCTGTGAAATGCAAATAATGAATTATGAACAAAACTGTCATTTCAGTTAGGAATTCCTGAATGGATTGTCAGACTTCGTCATGATACTACTCATTCTTCTCTGCCAAGTTTAGATGTATTGGCGACGGGTGCAAAATGGGCTCTCAATTATCTCAGAGAGAACTTCTGGGAGTGTCAAACAAATGAAGTTGTGCCTGAAGAAAATGAAGGAAGCATGAAATCACCGAAAATGTCTGCTATAAGAAGAGCATTTTATGATTTTCAAGAAAGTCGTTCTCAGGTGAAGAATCTTGATATATTAGCCCCTATGCAAGTAATCTTATGTGTGAATTTAAAAATGTAAAAGCAAACTGCAGTTATATTTAAATTATTTCCATACACTTGATGATTGAACATTAATATTTAATTTTTTTTTTTTGATTATGCAAAGTTCAATAAAATAGACTGCATCAGATAAACTATTTATGGGCTTTATTTATCTCAATTTATCTCAATTTCAACTATGAATTTCCTGTTTATATTTGAGTGCCTTTTGCCAATGACATCTTATAAAAGTAGTCTATGATACCCACCACAATGCAATAACATTGGTCAATTAACACTTTATATCCACATTGCGCATAGAGCAAAAAAAAAACATCTATCCACTTTACTCTTTCCCCCAGTACAGAGAAAAACAATGCAGACAGTGTTACGTATTGTGATATGAATTTTTTAAGTTTAAGCTTTTTTAAGATTGAGCTCATTTATTAAACAATATGTAACAAAGGACTGGAAAAAAGTATACAAAGAAATACAATACCTAATATAGTGATATTAACTATATTCAATTTAATTCTACTATTAAATTTAAATTTTACAAATATGAACAAAATAAGACTTTGACTAAATATTTAAAATTTGTGATTTCTCTTTTTTGGGAAGGATGTAAAGATGTAAAAATGTTAAAATGTATGTGCAGCTAAGCCTGGTTTACTCTTAGGATTTTACCTACTATTTTCTATTTTGAGATGTATTTTATGATAGTACACCAAGACCTGTCAGAAATACAATTTGAAGAGACTGAGTGAAAAAAGTAATACATTCAAGTATTTTGTTCTAGGTCTAAATATTTAAGCATAAAATAAGACTGCCACATTTTTTTTGTAATCATGGTTTTGATGAACTTGCTAGACATAGTAACAGTATAAAAAAAAATTAGCCTAGTAAAATTTTTAGTAAATCCTCACTTTTGTTTGCTTCGGTGCTGTATCAAGTTATTTTGTGACATTTTGTTCGGCTGAACTACCGTGAGTACAAAAACGGAAAGTTAGAATGCATTCTCAACTGTTCCTCACAGCAACATTAGATTTTGACTTATTTTATACGATTCTAATTGTATTCGAATGCACAATTTTTAATGCTATTTTTAAAACCCTGGTTTGGTTTCACGTCCGCAAACAAAGTGACCACAGTGTGGACAGCAGTCATCTAATTTTTGGAAGTTATCTTTTTGATGTCAGCTTAACTGGATCCCACTGGACACACGATGCGTGTAGTTCATGTATATGTAATAAATACTGTGTTTATTTTATTATAAAGATACTGTATTGTAAGATTTTCAGATGATATAAGAATTTAGGAGTTTGATGGTAACAGGTCTGAGTTAAGTGGAAATTAATAATGAATTTTTCTTGTTGCCAAGTAATAAACCCATCAATCGGCGTCATGTGGATATAAATGTTATAAATGGCTGTCAACAATCGTGTGGATATTAAATGTTAAGTGGGGCAATTTAACTACCACACTTCATACTGTTAAATTAAAACATCATTGTAAGACTCGTTTAGACAAGATTATTTGTTCCCAGGAGATAAATGCTGACAGTAAAGACAAAGAGGCTGGAGACCAGTCGGAACCCTTGAAAGTTCTCCACAGCTACTTGAATCAAAATAGGTAATAAAAACAAAACTTCTCAGACTTTCACCCATGCCATCAGGTGAACATTCATCGCTATAGTATAAAATCTAAATTTGATCTCTGGTTATCGAACACCAATGACATTTTGTTGGTGCATTGATTGTATTCATTGTTGATGTTTTGTTATTTCACCAGATTAAAATTTGCAAAATGTTTGCTTGAAGATGGAATTCTAATCTCAACGGAAGAACAGCTGACAGCTTTAGGGGTGACCAGTTCTGGTAAAAACATTGTTAACATTTGATTTCATATTGACAAATTAACACCAACAAAGTTTCTATTTCTTAATTTGGGGTAAGACTTCAAAAAAGAATCTTGCAATATTACTATTTTCAAGGAGTTGGTATGACTTATATTAATGGTGACAGAATACTGCACAATTTATCCCTTTACAATTAAGATCTTATATAGCCACTAGTTAGCTTTGCAACAGTAATTGAAATATATTTCAAAGTACAACTACAGGGAGAACTGAAATAGACAGAAGTAAAAAGCTGAAAAGAATGCATTGAAGATGACTTTGAACACTATTTCTTCTTATCAGATCTGCTTACCCAGTCTCCACCGACGGTACCTTTAGAAATGGTAATGGTAGAGTTTTGGCGACCATTGTTTCAAATGCTGCATGCTAACAGTGATCTCCCATTTATGCTTCACATGGCAATGTTTTCTGTCACTTCGGGTGAAGGCATTCGAAATTACCAACTTGTGGCCTGGATTGCTTTCTTCCTTTCCCAGAATTCAGGTTTGTTCCTTTAAGAAAATTTTCTTAATATTATTAGACCTAATCACCAAATTAATTTAAACTGTTGAATAACTTTTATTAGAGTCCATTTAATGTTATAATTGGAACGTTATTTTTTTAAAATTTAATATCCCCTGTTGGGGGGGGGGGGGGGGGGGGGTTGGTTTAAGGTTTTGTTGGTTTTTTTTTTTTTTTTTTACCCAGACTTT